ATTAACTGCTTAAGGTATTTCACCTGCGCTCTTTTGAAGAGCGTTCAGACGCGCTACATTTCCCCTCGTCGTTGACCGTTGAAAGCGTGCTTCAAAGAGTACTTCGACTCCCATCAGTAGCTAGCAAGCGGTACTTGACCAACAAAGTACGTACACTCTGATCGTCGGCTAAACACTGTCTCTTTTCTTTGATACAGTAATGCTTTTCAGGTCGATCGTAGCGTTACTGGTCTTATCGCTCAGCAGCAGTGTGTTGGTCCATTGCATACGCCTGTTGCCGACGTTGGCGTTATCGCTATCTCGTATTTTGAGACGGTATAGAATCTTTGATAATCGATCAATTGATTTTCTTCGGTTAATGCTTTTCAGATTAAGAAAAACCTGGCATATGTGGTCATGTTTCGATAAGTTTAATTAACGCGATTGATGAATTAAAATTTTATAAATTAATCCTTCCGTGACTTGTTGCCAGTAACATAATTGTATAGTCCCTCGATTTACGAATTTTTCTACACTGAATCGCGTAAATTTATGCTTATTCTCAACATGCGAGCAATGGATTTGCAGCAACCAAAACCGTTATTATTGAACTCAGAGGAATTTAGCATCATCTGACAAATGCAAGTCAGATTCACTTTTCCCAGCCTCGCTGTTTCGCTTGTTTTTTCTGCTTTGCGATACTGGTTACTTCATTGTAGAAAGAATAATTCTTCTGTGATCTCATATCTTCTTTCTTTGACTATTTTGCATACAGTAATTAATATTTTGCAGTGACAAGGGTTTATTACTGTAATTACCTAGAATCCCATAATCTGCGATAGGTCATGGTAATTGAGTGTTCGAAGAAGTAGAATGTACTGGTCAAAGGCCTCTTAATTATCAGTTTTCATCATTTTATTTAAGACTGGCAGAGAAAGGTGAATTTGCAGTTGACAGTGTGAAGTCATGCTTAAATTTTATCACGTTCATATCATTCTTGCAAAACACTTTTAATTTTCTACTATCCTACATTATAATATCAGTTTTGGAAGTAAATGTTAATTAAATTTACCAATGTAATATGAGGTATGGACGTTAAACAGAATAAAAATCTCAAAAATTCAATGCAAAGAGCACTTTCGTAGGCGATTTAACGTAAGTAACGGCTTTATTTCTGAACATTTTTATTTACTATCTAAATTTAATTAACATCTTTCTCTGGGTCATGCAATGTGCCGAGTTACTCCAGCCATAGCAAGCGTCTTAATGCGAGTTTCGTAAAGGCAATAGGACCAAACCGTCGCGGCTTGCCACCTAAATTGCATGTCATCGACTTTTTTCACTGTCCTCAGCTCGTTGTACGCCGGGTCACAGTTAAGTGAATTTCTCATTTTTAAGATATTAGCAACACATGAATTCTGATTTAACGTGCCGACCTCGTACAGTATCACAGATTTTTACTCTGATTTGCGTTGATTTCTAAAACTAGCTTTGTTTCACTCCTGCATTGTTTAAACTTCTGTTTTTACTTCTTTGTGCTATCTAATTTTGGTTTATCTTCGAAATGATAAATAACGTAAGCCCATGCTTAGGTTGGTGCCGCAGTCGCTGTTGGAGAGCAACCGATAAAATGCATGCTGAATGCAGAGCATGGCGCCAGGATGACCGTCGCGGAGGCGCTTACGAATCTCGTTTTCGCTTCTATAAGTTCACTAAGGGTAAATGGGTAACTAAAGAAACTTGAAATTGCGACTTGGAAAATTTGTTGTCATCCACTCGCTCCAAAACTGTTTATTTTGTTCTGTTCATAAATGGCTCATTGAAACGAGTTACTGCTGTGGAAGTTAAAGTTACACTAGAATAACGTATGGTTAGTTTGGGTAGCAGTTTATTTTATCGAGTAATGCTTCGTTTGACGTGTTATCACGAAAATTTATTCTCATTTGTTTCAGAAGATGGCTTTATTTTTTGACAGTGATCGTGCACTCTTTCTCTCTTTCCCTTTCGGTCTTCTTCCTCTTTTCCCCTTCACTCTTTTCGTTCCACTCTGTTTCTCTCCTACCCTTCATATCTCACAATTTACTTTTCACATTCTTTATGTTCACTTTTTTCTTTATACTCGTTTTCCCAATCCTATTTCTCCCTACAGCTTTGTGTCCATGGATTAATAAATTTCTAGCTGCCACTGTTAATGTCTTATCATCAAACTCTGCACGTTGCTGACTCGCTTTATTCATTTTGCCTTGCGTGAATGATAATTCTCGGTAGTAGTTACTTATGATTTGACATGTACACAAAAGATGTACTGTTAAAAGGGCCCACTTTTATTCTCAATAGGCATGCAGTTTCACGGACAGATATATCCAAAAATGACAGGTTTGAATTCATATACGAATAATATAAGTACGACTCTGTTTCGACATAAAACCAGTACTTCTAAAGCTCTTGGTCTGTCTTCCACTGTGGCAGGATAGAACGTTATGGTGATTCAACATCGCCCCATTGCGATGCACAGAGTTTCTTGAAGATGCCGATGCGGCGTTTATGGAAGAATGAGATATTTTCTTCTTCACACGATTTTATCATAGCTGACTATTTCCAGATGAAGTTTGAAGAGAATACATTCATTTGATATTGTTGCGCTGTATTCTATACCAGGATAGTTGCGATAATGTTCTCTAATGTAAGTTATTTACTTTCGGCGGTATGGAGAAAAACTCTGTTACGACAATGCCATTTTTCAACATATCAAGTAATGTTAGCGTGTTTTATAGCGTGTTTTTCCCAAATACCCTCATTATTTCGCTCCACATCATTCTCGAATTTTCATCTACTTGTTATTCATTTATTTTATGTACTTTTCGATCTTCCTCTAAAATTTGAAAACATCCTTCATTACGGTTTCACGTTATGAATGCATTTTTGTATAGGACGTGAAATGCAGTGCAAACTGGATGTGGCCTGCCAAGTTACCCGGAGGAGGTTTCCGGTTGCTAAAGGCATGTAAAGCTATGTGCGCAGTGATGCGCGATTTGGGTATTGCTGTTGATGGCGGCAAGGATTCCTTGAGCATGGCAGCAAACGTCAACGGCAGCATTGTCAGATCACCAGGTGAATATTCGTCACCGTATAAGTTTGCCTGATGTAGTTGCGCAATTAAATTTATTTAGACACGTTGGTCGTAACTGCTTATGCCCCCTGCCCAGATATCACGAAAACTGTGACTCCGGATCTGAAATGTCCCAATGGAAAAGGTGAGTAACCACATTTTGACTTCGTGAATGACTTTGGCTTGTTTGTGCATTGCGTATCAGCTGTCATCAGTGGCTGGTTGTCAATTCAGATTTACTGCGATTGACAAACCATGGTCAATTTCATGGATTCCATGCATGAATCTTAAATTGTTCATGGTAACACATAAATTGGATGAAAATGTTACCTACGCAAATAAATCAGGTTGTAGCCTGTACTGTTTTCAGCTACAAACTTCTGCTATCTGTAAAGCTCATATGTATAAAGAGCATCGTTTTACCTTAGTCTCGATAAACATATTAATATAATTGATAGCATTCTGTGACAGTGACTCATGGCCAGTTCTCCAGTTCTAACACTTGTTTCATAGCACTTCCGGCATGCCACTATGTTATTTACTATGAAATGAGTTGCCACTAATGTTTGTTTATTAGTGACGGGGGTGCTTAATTGGTAGATTGTCTGATTAGGTCAAAAGATCTTAATTTTATGCCGCTGTTGGTTACTTATTTTTTTGGAGTTGTATAAATGTGTTGGAAAAAAGGAAAAGTCTACGTTCCATACTTATCAAATGGCTGGGCGCATTGCCTTTGAAATAAGGCTTTTCTGGCTGATTCTATAGAAATGAACATGAACTGTACCGTATGCTCAATGAAAAGGATAAAGTGGCAAACAGCACCTATCATGCAAATGTAAGGATGAATAACGGCTACAAACTGTCCTCAGTTTTCATTTCCTAATTCAAATTGTAATTAATTTGATTGATTGGCTATAATGGGCTGTTTTTAATTCAGGTGTAATTTTGCAAGTACGGTTTGGAAGCGATTTCAAGCATAATTATTTGGGTGGATCTGCTGTTGCTCAGTGTTTCTCACAAATTGGTGACTCTTGTCCTGATCTGCGTAACGTCACACAGTTTCGGAACGCTTTCGACGTAACACAGGAGTTGATACGAGGTTCGTGCGTTTTTTCTGTTTCGCTTGCGTCACCTTGATCTGCGCTTTGTGTATTTTCTTTGGTCAGTCGTGGCCTCCCAGATGATCGATTCGATCCGTCTGTGTCTCGATAAATTGTAACTTCAACAACATGAAATTAATACACTTTACTTACTTTACTATAAAAGTTTAGTGTAAAATAATAAAGATTAAGGAAACCCAATGTAATATTATCGTAATCTGTTTTATCAATCTGACGGTCAGTCAGCGTGGCGTTTTGGTCTGTCGTTGTTAGACTACCAGATTCACACACTACAGTATAATGTATTCTTAAAGAACTTGTTCTCGGTATGCTGGTACATGGAACAATTGCATAACGTCGTTCTCTGATCTCGTTTCTATCGAGAGTCGGGCAACAGCCAGAAGGGCCAAAATCTGTCATTTTCATTTTTAACAGTTTCAGTAGTGGAACATGCA